TTTTGTTGACTATGAGGGCCACTCCACTTCTTTTACGGGATTCTTGCCCACAGTAGTAGATATGATGGTCATCCAAACTGAATTCGCCCATTCCCGTCCATTTTAGTTCACTGATGCCCAGGATGTCAATATTTATTCTTGCCATCTCATTTTTGACCACATCCAACTTACCAAGATTCATGGTTCTTACATTCCAGGTTCCTATGCAATATTTTTCTGTACAGCATTGGACTTTCCTTTCCAGGCATATCCACAACTGAGCGTCCTTTCGGCTTTGGCCCAGCCTCTTCATCAGCTCTGAATCTACTTGTACTTGTCCTCTGCTCTTCCTCAGTAGCATGTTGGACGCCTTCCGACCTGAGGGGCTCATCTTCCAGCGTCATAACTTTTATATGCCTTTTGTCTTTGTCCATGGAGTTTTCTTGGCAGGGATACTGGAGTGGCTTGCCGGTTCCTGCTCCAGGTGGATCACGTTTGGTCAAAACTCTCCACTATGACCTGTCCATCTTGGGTGGCCCTGCACGGCATAGCGCATAGCTTCTCCGAGTTATTCAAGCCCCTTCACCACGGCAAGGCAGTGATCCATGAAGGGGCTCTTGCTCTTAGTAAAATCAAAACTCTACATTTCCTTTCAAGTAATCCATCACACTTAGGGCCCAACAATATGTGGTATTAAACCTGCCTTTGCATCTAATGTGCAAGGGAATTTTGCACTCAGCTTGCTAACTCACCATTATCCCCAAAGTATCTGTAACATGCATTGGACCTACCAGGTCTCTACTGCTGACAGGACTCAAGGTGGGGGTGCTATTATTGGCTTATTAAGATTGGTATGCTGACATTTTTCTGTGGCTTCATATTCCAGTTATTAATAGGCCTCTTCTGCCTATTGACCTTGTTCTGCAACCTCATCAATATATACTGCTCTTCATTATCCATTCTGTGCCTCCTTTTCTTTTTAATAATATATTGTTGGGGGGGTAGAGAATTCACCCCTCCTTTCAGGATCTCTTGTCAGGGCTCACAACTCACTTCAACATCAAACAACTGTTTATGAAAAGGTGGGGGATCTTTTTTCAGCCCCAGGGCCATATTCCCACATGAGCAAGCTTCCTAGGGCCACATGCAAGTGGTGGATGGGTGCAGAGGCAGAAGTAAGCAGAGCATCAGGGGAGACTCTTACCTTTGTAGAATAGAAGTCAGAGGTTTCTACATAGAGCCACAACCTTAACATATCTCTCAATCCTCCATCGAGGCAAGCAGGAGCCATAACCACATTTTAGGGACACATTCCAACCAGGCAGAAGCACCCTAGGAGAATGCAGAGTGAGGTCACTATGGGGTGGCACCTGGGAATCAAGTGTGCCACCTTGCCCCTGCAATTGGGGTGGGACAGCGCAATATCAGCAGCACACCCTGTGGTATGTGCGAGTGATGTCAGCCTATCCATGCCCCTGATGTTTAGTTGGAAATGAGCTTATTGTACACTTCACTCTCTTGCCAGCATCAGCACCAGTGGATTACAAATGCTGGGTTTTAAAATTTCTAGAGGGGTATTGCCTCTGTTGCACTCCAACCCACAAATGCTTATGCCATAATAAATTTGTTGGTCTTTAAGGAGCTAGAGGAACGCGGGTGGCGCTGTGGGTTAAACCACAGAGCCTAGCACTTGCCGATCAGGTCGGTGGTTCGAATCCCCGCGACGGGGTGAGCTCCCGTTGCTCGGTCCCTGCTCCTGCCAACCTAGCAGTTCAAAAGAACATCAAAGTGCAAGTAGATAAATAGGTACCGCTCCGGCGGGAAGGTAAACGGCGTTTCCGTGCGCTGCTCTGGTTTGCCAGAAGCGGCTTAGTCATGCTAGCCACATGACCTGGAAGCTGTACGCCAGCTCCCTCGGCCAATAAAGCGAGATGAGCGCCACAACCCCAGAGTCAGTCATGATTGGACCTAATGGTCGGGGGTCCCTTTAGCTTTACAAGGAGCTAGAAGACTCTTCGTTGTTTTAATTTTACAGGTCATCTGTGTTGTATTGGTATAAATGTCGTTATGTTATAGCAAGGATAGGAAGCCCGGTCCCTCCAGGTGTTGCTGGATTCCCAACTTCTGTTTCCTTGCAGCCTCTGAAGATCTAATGTAGAAGATGGCATATACACATATCAATAAATAAATAAGTCATCGTTGGCCCTGCTGGCTGGGGTGGACTGGAGTTTGAGTCTGCCGTCATCTGAAGAGCCACAGGTGCTCCACCCCTGCTTTATATAATATGGAAACTTCTCTTCCAGTATGCTGACGGTTAGATGGCCTAGTAATGGCATCGCCACATTGTTTCAGCATTGTGTTTGCCCCAAAACAGTTTTTCATAGCATCCCAGGTAATTTAGGACAAGGTAAAAAGATTAGGACTGCGATCCCAAGAAGAATTAGTTATGCTTAAACCCTTGTGTAATTAACTGGAATCCAATGCACCATGTTCAATGTGAATTAATCCCAGTAATTGTGTTCAGGACTGCAACCTAACTGCGGTATATCTAACACTGCATAGGACTGGGGTTGTTGTTTTTTAAAAGAGAACAGTTTTTTCTCCCTTTCCCAGCATAGAAAACACTTTTTCCTACAAGGGCTGAGGGCAAGCACCTAATATATAAACTACTTCAAAGTTTGTTAATTATGAAAGGAGAAATGTAATTAGTCATCATAATGCTAGAGATCAGTTTATAGCCAGTCTTTTTCAATTAAAATTGCAATCTATAATTTTCCTGGAGGAGTTACATGTCTCAGATCTCAGCAGATTAAATTCACTGTGTGTATTAAGAAAAGTACCATAAAAGGTTGCCATAGAGAAATGAACTGGCACAGCATACAATTCTTCTAAAAAACAAGCTAGCTTCTGACATCTTTGCAGCTTGCAAAGTATTTGCCTCCCTCTGCATTCTGTTTAGAATATTGACCAAACCTAGCAAGACGTTTGCCATCAATAATATTTTGAGGACTATATTTCTGAAGATATCAATTATGGTTTAGTTCCTTTAGCCTCAAGTTTGTTTGAAGCCTCTGTGAAACCATACCTGGGGTGAACGAGAGGAGAGAGGGAGGCTCCTTGCCTCATGAGAGCATACACATGGATAGACAGCTATGGGGTTGATAGTGTCTTTTTACGGAATTAATTTACCAGCGGTATATAATAAACCATATATAAGAATAATGTTATTCTTATCTAACATTAGTTATATTACTAGTAGACCCATTGGAAGCAATATCGAAGTCCATTGATTTAAGTTGGTCTTCTCTGACTTACTTGGGTATTACCCAGAATAACTAAAGATCAAATACAAAATGATTAACCTCAGTCAGTCTTCTATTAAAGGATCTATACCAGTGGTTCCCAATTAGCTAAGTACTGCGGACCCCCTGTTTTTCAAAAGCCAAGCCAAAATTTTGAAAATGTCGATATCTCCATGGTACATTTTTGCTATGTAAATAGTGACACAGACCCTCTTGGTGGGCTACGCAGACCTCTTGAGATCTGTGGACCACCAATTGGGAACCACTGATCTAGACCATACATTTAAAGCACATTGTTAAGAGTGTTGAGAATTATAGTTCTTTGAGGAACTAGTGTTCCCAGGATAGTAGGGGAAGATTATACTGATCCTAGATTCTGCTTCTGTGTGGACATAAATAGGCCATTCAAAGGTATGGCTTAATTGTACCCTGGCTCTGCCCTTCCCACCTACAACTGCTTGCTTGGCCTATAAAGCGAGATGAGCGCCGCAACTCCAGAGTTGTCTGCGACTGGACTTAACTGTCAGGGGTCCTTAACCTTTTTATGCCACTTTTGTATCATAGGACTCCAAATGTTGTAAGCTCCCACTTCCCAACCATTCCCGAGATTCTTTTTCCCCTTTGGACAAGGAGATCTATGGTATATTTGTAATATTTTTTCTTACAAGTGGAAGCAGCAATAAATATTGAGCAGAGGAGGAGACAAGTGGAAGGCAGTCTACACAAGGTAGCATATCTGCCTCCTGCTCTGCCTCACAATTCCTTAACATGGACTGCTCATCCTTGCCTTTGGGAGCTCCAGGTGACCCTCCAAAGGGGATTCCTCTAGCAGGGGCAAGTTCAATTTCCAAGATTGATTTTTAAAGCATAAATTCTATTGAAATGGGGAGTGTTTCATTCATCACTGGGAACATCTCAGACACTATCCAGCAGAGGTACAATGACATCAACTTAACAATGCTGGCTCTGCTTAACTTTGTTACACATTTTAGCAGATATCCACTATGAAACAACAAAGAGGTGGTTTATCACCACAGGGATGATACAGAAAATAAGAAATAATGTGTACCACAGACTGCAGAAGGACATGTGTTTTCACCTCTAGTAAGAGATCATTTGTACCCTGCCTCTGAGCTACAAGTGTACTATTTCTAGTTCAAACTCATCAACACAAGTCCATCTGAATGTGGAGAAGCCACTATGGCTTCTGGTTGGGATGATACTGCGCTGATACTTCTGCACCTGCACCTCCACATCTAAAGGGCCCGTGGTAAGCTATTGGGTCCCACCAATAGTTGTTAGTTAGTTAGCTAGAGTTCTATCCCTCCTGAGTAGGGCATTGAACCTGGGAGTTGGTCTGCCAGGTGCTTGTCTGGCATTGTAGCCAAGTGCATCCAGAGATTATCCAGTGTTTGGACATGGAGACAGAACTCCATGTTTCTTTTGTAGATTGCTTTGTGCAGATAATGAATCTCAACTGACAGTCTTATTCTTTTTAAAAAAGCAGCATTCTAGTTATTAGTGGAGACAAGCTCGAAAAACCTGTGGGCATTGTTTGATGAAATCTCAGATGGTAAGGCAGAAAATGAGTTCTAGTTGTCATGGGGTGGAATTTCTAATCCCATCCTCAATAACATGAGAAGCAGAATAAAGCCTGCAAAATAAACAAATAGATGCAGCTTTGTGATATTTGCATAATTTACTCATATCATGTAAGTGGGCTTTTCTTGGCACAGAACTCAGGTTCTCTAGATGACAAATTTGGTTTTTTATTGGCGATGGTTATAAAGATGTGCCCATTTTTCTCCTCTGAAATACATGTTTCCAACAGAATACCAGTTGCAGCTATGGTTCTTCTATTATTATGGGCCCATTACAGGAGGTGCCAGTGGCTATAATTAGTTGGGGAAATTGATTTTGCAGGAAGCAAAGTGTGTGCTAGAGCATGGAGTGCAGGTCACAAGCAGGTTAGTTGCGAGCTATAATTGGAAAGCTAGGAACTGAGGATAGGCAGAAAGGGGAAAGAAAGACCAGTTGGCAGATCTAAATATATTTTAGTAGAGAAACTACCTATGCACTTCTCAAAGGGTAGCTGATAGCCTTATGACAGGTCTCCTGGTTCTGAATAAAGGTAGCAGAGCTTTAAATTAACAGTGATTTGTGAGGGTGAAGAAATGAAAATGGGCTGGTTTTTTACGTGGCATCTTCATCTATATCCTTCCATGTAAGGTCAGGCAATGGCAAATTCTTAATGATCCGACGATAGCTACTGTCATCAGGAGAGTTACTTGAGACATAATGTAACTCCAAGCACCGAGCAATCGGGGAGGTGGGGAGATCCCAAGAACCATAATTTACCGAAAAGAAGAACTTTTTTCCTTGGTTAAGTTTTGTTTTATTGCATGCAGAACGATTTCCTTTATCTTGTAGCTCGGAACATTTGGGATGCCTGCTGGTTAGTCCTGTTGAAGGGCAGTTCTTCTGCTCCCATATCTCAGTGGTGGTAAGTGGGCTCTGCTGCCTAGCTAGGAGAGGGAGGTTTTGCTACCACCCTTCATCTACAGATCTCAGGCCAGTTTACAATGTGAAAGCATTCATGATTGTGGAGAATATCAGCCTGCTCTGGATAAGCCAACCTGTGTGTAGAAACAGGTTTCACTGCATGGCTCAGGTGATCTGTAACCAAAGCAACATGTGATTCTGCAGGGGGCCAGGCTGCATCCAGCACATGGTGGCGGCACATGGAGCATGCACACTGTGTGCCCTGATTAAGACACTGTCAATGTGTCTTAGCTTCAAGTAATGTTGATAGCTTCAAGTAACTTCTGATAGGGCAAGATGAAAGGAAATAATGGTCCTAGCATAAACATTAGCTCTTATCCACCTACTTTCCTTACAGGGAGGGAGGGATGAGTTTGTCAATTTTGACTTCTCTCAGTTTCTCTTTTTTTTTCAAATCTTAAGTGCAGATCCACATTTCCAAACCAGTTTGATCTTTCTTTCTTTTTAAAGAGCCCTAAAAAAATCAATCAGCATTTTAGTGTGAATTGTAAACTACTTTGAAGGTTTTTTTTTTAAAAAAAGCAATAAGGTGGTGTATAAATTTTATGAAATAAATACCTTTCTCCCTTATTCAATTTTGCCCAATACAATCATTTTTGCAAAACAATTTCCCCTAATAAAATGCATTTTTGTAAGTTCTTTGCACCAATATATACATTTTAAGGGACATTTTACCCTAGTATAGGCATTTTTCTACACATTACTTGGCTGGAGCCCTGCACTGCAAAACATCAGAGAAGTATGAATTTGGAAAGGTGGCTGTGTTTTAGAATGTACATTGTTTGGGAAAGTTCAGTTCATCTTTAAACACAAATTGAATTGAACTGAATTTCCCCCCATCCCTACTTACAGATAGATGACCAGCGATGCTACTTTGAATAATGCTAGCCACAGCTTAGATGGGTTGGACACTGTGAAGCCATCAGTTGATGACCTGAAATTTGCTTATGGTTTTCTGGATGGATTTTGATGTTTGAACATATACTGTATTTACTCCAATCTAATGCTCACCTGTTTTGGGTCAAATCTCATTGCAAAAATTAAGGTGCATATTAGATTCGATGGCGCATTTACATTCACCAGCAAATACTTTTTTTGGTTTAAAGGTTCTGAAAATTGAGGTGTGCATTAGATTCGAGTAAATGTGATAATTGCCCCCCCCTTTGCTAGGTGAGTGGTCCTATGCCTATTAATCTGGAAGCAAAATATAAGGTAAAACTGCTTCTGCATAGCTGGAGGTGTGCTGGTATGCAGAAATAAACTAGTCTGTAAATTAAAAATCAATTTAAAAAACCCCAGGAAGGACCTTATGCCCAGAGGCCCAGTGAGAGTCCAAGATCTAAGCTTGGGGGCAGTTGAGCAACAGACAGCTGGGGGTGTCAGTTGGATGGGGTGCAGGAGAAAATGATGGGGGAAGTGGATGCGTTGAGTCCTCAGTTTTTATTACTTGTTTCCTGGATGGGTGATTAAGGATCGGTAGATGCTTAAAACCTCACCTCCACACATTGTATGGCAATGTTTTATAAGAAATGAAAGTTTAAAGGACAGTTTTTCCAGGTTGAAATCCTGAACTGGGAAGCTTCTGTTAGGGGTTGGGAATACAGTGCAGCATTTTCGTTTCTGGGCCCAATTCCAAGTGCTGGTTTTGACCTATAAAGCCTTAAACGGCTCAGGACTGCCTCTTTCCATATGAACACACTTGGACTCTGAGATCATCTTCTGAAGCCCTTCTTCCTGGGCTTCTTCCACAAGAGGTCCAGAGGGTGGCAACACGAGAACGGGCCTTCTCTGCAGTGGCTCCCCATTTGTGGAATGCTCTCCCGAGGGAGGTTTGCCTGGTGCTTTTGTTATACACCTTTAGGCGCCAGGCAAAAACGTTCCTCTTTAACGTTGATTGACATCCTATGCCCTTTTAAAATGTGTTGGGAGGGGTTATTGGGTTTTATTATATATTTTGTGGTTTTATATTCTTATTTTATCCTGTGAACTGCCCTGACACCTGTGGGTATAGGGTGGTACACAACATTATTTATTATTATTATTATTATTATTATTATTATTATTATTATTACTTTTGTTGAGGGCTGCTCTCTCTTAATATTAAACTTGAGTGATTCTGTACCTATCTGGTTAGGAAGCCAAACTGGATAATCCAAGAATAGATCAGGGATACTGCATATTCAAAGGACTCCTAAGATACACAGAAGTAGATGAGTTTAAAGACAGAAGGAAAACAGGAACAAATGGACTGAAAAGGGTTGGAAGGTTCTATGTCCCTTGAGAATATTGAAAGAAGTTGAACCACATTATGTGGAAGGTGTCACTTGGCAGAAAAAAACAAAAACAAGATGGCGGTATGGAGAGAGGGAATTGGTCTGTTCAAGTCTCTATAAACAATTTAAGAGCAGGGAGCTGTGCTTAGGGTGAGGCAGATGCATGCCATCAGGTTTGTGGTTCCTATGCTCTATGGGAAAGTTTCAGAAGAAGAAAAGGGCAGTGCTTTTTTCCGTAAAAAATATGTTTAGCGGTACTCTCATTTTCCTACTCGTATTGAAATACTGCCCCTCAATGAGGCCAAACCTAGATTCACAAAATGTTTAGGGGTATGCGTACCCCCAGAAAAAAAAGCCTTAGGTTGAGGAGTTGGACCACGTCTTTTGTACTATATATAGCCACAGCTCCTGAGGGCAAAAACTGAAGGAGGCAGGGAGCAGAAGCTCCTCCTCCTCTCCTCCCTATTCCCTCCTTTCTGAGAATGCCAAGTCAGCCGCTGAAGCCTTCCTATATTTGTTCATAACCAAACAATGCCATCCAACATTGATTTCCATTTCCCTTTTAGTCTTAAGGAGACAGCAATTCTACAGGGCTAGAAAGTGGACCCCACCCTGCAATGGAGAGGCTAAACACGCCTGGCTTTGGCCCGGGGTTCATCCTGCACTTCGGCCTACTTCTCCTGTTTTGTGCCTCCCCTCTGTAGCTTAGTGGGCTCTGTCAGGCAATGCTACGTACAAAGAATTGGGGTTTTTGAGAGGAGAGAGATTTGTACTGGACTTTACCAGTTGCATATTCTCCTCCTTCAGGCTTTAGTACTTACAGCCTCCAAACCACTAAAGATGGCCGCCGTGTGGCTCTGCTGTCATAGCGGAACAGCAGCGGTGGGGATGTGCCAAGAGGCGTGGAGGCCGGAGGCAAGTGCTAAATTACAGAGGCCACAGAGTTAGTAATTATCCATGGATTAATAAATGAATATAGTTAGGTACAGTATTCCGAAATATCAGAAAGGTGCTTTGCTGCAAGATGACTCTGAGGGGAGCGAGGCTTTCTTTTAACAGGTGCGAGGAAAAGACAAAAAAAGAGAGAAGCAAATCTTCCCTTTCAAATTCTGTGGTAAGAGGCATGCTAATATGCTAGGACAATGTGCTTAATTATATGTAAAGTGGAGATGGAACATGAGGTGAGGCCACTGATTTTAAAAGTGAGACATCTGGAGCATAACAAGGGAGATGCAGGCTTTTATTTCATAATGGGTAATATAAAAAAATATAATGCCATGCATTTCAGGACTTAACTATGATAATTAATCAGATTTTATACAGCCATAATTTTTTTTTAACTGCATAAAGTAGGGTTGCACAAGGTAGGCTCTGCCCAGAATAATACTGCCAAAATTAGACTTTTGTTTCAAAAGGTCTCCCTTCCTCACATCTTTGGGCTGTCTGGTTTAAATAATGTTAGTTAGTATACAGTGTTTCTGAGGTGGGTAGGCCTGTCCGCTAAGCAACTAAGGGCTAATTGTAATGTTACATTCAAATAGATGTGCTAAAGACAAAAGTATGGAAATTGGTAAAAACAAACAAACAGACGTTCTGAAACAACAATTGTGAGGCTTAACACACATTTAATAGAGCAGCACTAAAAGACTCATGGCAGAGAAACCAGTGATGTTGGGTCTGTGGAGGAGTCTGCCCCTTTTACAAATTCTAGCTTGCCAGACTCAATGCCCTCATTGACTTACATATAGGGCAACACCACGCCCACAATGCTCCTCTCTCCTTCCTATAGAATTTTTGTTGAGATAAATGTATCTCATTGGTTATCTGCATCCCATCAGGATTGCATTATGCTTGCTGTATCAATGCTGTGCTCTAAGACCAAGTTCACTCATCTTGGCCTGGAGGCTTCTAGCTTACCATATAAGCTATATAAGTGCAAAAGACACTTAGAGGGACTCATTTTTTGAGTCCCTCTAAGTGTCTTTTGCACTTGTGTTTTAGGCTACAGTGTTTGGCTCTCTGAATATCATGTGCCCCTGCAGTCTGAAAGTCTAGTTTTACTCTTCCCCTATTTAAATCACCACAATTTGATCACCTTCATCCTTATTATCCCAGGGGGAATTGTTCCAAACCAGACCTTCCTCAGTTGCCATGTCTTTTGCTCCACAATCAACTCCCTAGGAAGAAGAAAAAAGTATTGTAAAGCATAATGTTGCAATACTAAAGCAAGATTCAGTGCCTATTCAGTGGGGCAGAGCAGCTCAACTCTGGATCCATACTGGAGCCAAAGTCGTCATTTTGGTCAGCAAGTACTAAGGGAACTAGCTCACATAGGGACTAGTAGGAATTGACTTTTAGGCTTTAGAAAACATACAATCCAATATATATCTAATTCAGTGCTTTCTAAGCTTTTTGGAAATGCAATCCAGAGATGAAATTTTGTCTCTAAGAAACCCAGTCAGTGGGAATAATTTAGATAAGGGAATAATCCCTTATCTAAAAAGTGAAAATATATGGTTGCTGCAGAGTAAATATGGCAACACAGACAGAAATATTGCCTCAAAGATTCATAGAACAGGATGTTAAGTGCATATACACATAAAGAGAAACTCCTGGAGTTTCCCTGTGATAGATTAAAATGATTTATGATTTAACAGAATGAAATCTAATGATGCCATGGCCAATTATAAGGATAAATAAGCAATTTTACAGAAGTCTGAAAACTCAAGTACAAAAGAGCAAAGCAATGAATTACAGGATAGAGGATACCTTATATTAGGAAAGGGGTTAGACTAGATCGGGGTAGCCATAATCTCTGACCATTAGCAATGCTGGCTGAGGCAGATGCGAATGGAGTCCAACAGAGACTGGAAGGTGCCATGTTGGCTGTCCTGGGCTAGATGACTTATTGTGTCCATTATAGTGTAGCAGTACAACTCATCACCAAAGCTTAAGGGAGTTCACCCATAGGTCCCTTCAACAAAGCAACAAAACTCTCAATTAAACAAAATATTCAGAATCTGCTAATGTCTTGGAAAACAAAATGCAATCTTGAGAAATGACCAAGCTAAAGCAATTGAATAAGTATATTCTTCATAACGCTACTGACCAGCAACGCTCACCACTGGATCAGGCTAATTCATGTGGAGTATATCCATACCACAACCAGTTAACATTGGCGGTGGCATGGGCAGCTCTAAACAGCATGGTGAATGACATGACTAGAAACATTTTACATGTCAACTTTCTGTTTGGAGGTGATCTCATAAGAAAGTACTGGCTGTCGGCCTCTATGTGGACTGATAGAACATACAGCCTGATCCTAAGACCAAAGTTCAAAAAGTAAAGCTTTGGTCATCTCTCCAGTTGTCTCCTGTTCTAATCCCTCACCCACTTTCCTTCAATACAACATATTCTCAATGACTGCCATAGAATGCTCTATTTTTATTTGAAAAATGGATATAGAAAGAGACGTGTGTTTGCTATTGAGAGATCCTGCTCTGCCAAAGTGGCAAAAAAGGGCTTCAGGGCACAGCCCAAGAAGACTCAAGTGTTGTTGGTATTGGATTATTTCAGAGGTATCTCTCTGCTGTTTCTTTGTTGTCTTCCCTTTCTTCTTTGGGCACTTGAAAAAGAAGGACGCATGCATACAGAGGTAGATCCTTTGCTCTTAACACATGAAAGTCAAATGTCATAAAGAGAATGTAAGCAGGTTACAATAGCAGCGAATGCAAATCATTTCACCTCCGGACTTCCTGCTGGTCAGTGATGTCTTGGTGTGCAAAAATATCTTCTTTTTTGTGAATGAGTAGGAAACGATCTGGCTCAAAGCCAACACAATTATTGTACAGTTAAACAGTGAATTTGCTCGTGTATCAATTCCTTCATATCTTGTTTGTTCTGAAGGAATGCTACTTTTCTTAAAAGAATTAACTTCCCGATCCTAACACATATTAAGAAACACTTACCTTAGTTTTTAACAATTTATCTGCCAGCCCTATACAGCATTTTAGATCATCTATAGAAACTTGCTCAGATGAGCTGAAAGAGCAATTAATAAGCAGAAACCATCCTATAATTATTCTTTCCAATCCACTGCTGGTGATATGTAAGACTTTCCCAACTCGGGCTCTCCAAATGTTTTGGACTACAACTCCCATCAGCCCAAGCTAGCATGGCCAATGGTCAGGGACAGCTGTCCAATACTTCTCCAGGGCACCAAGTTGGGGAAGGCAAGTTTACACATCAGCAGCTTACACAACACGTTTAGTCGATTACAGCATCCTCCCAAAAGCCCCTTTATTTAGAGCACACACTGCACAGTGTTTTTCTTTCCAGTTGGTGCCATTTCACAATTTCACTTTTTGATGGCTAATCTGTTAAAACCATTTTGACCACAATGATAGAGTGGTGGAGCAGGTCAAGTCTACTCCATGGAACAGCAACCCCGATGAAATTGATATGGTTCTTTCTTCATAGTCAGCACCATTCAAATGTTTTTTAGCCATGCTTAAACGGCGCATTGAGGTTGTTGTTTTTTATCCCAGTCATATCTTAACTACTTAATCAGTGCAGTACAAACAGACATAACAAAGACAGAAAGAGTGGAGGTCAAGTATGGGTTCTGAAAACAGGCTGAAGCCATGCAAAACTTCTTTGTATAACCTAGCTAAGAAGTTAGAAGAGCCTTAGCTAGAGCTCCCCGCCATTGAGTGGTTTTTAAAAATAGCTGCCTAAATCTGCTTCTGTGCAGTTACAAGTGGGCTATAATTTAACATATATTTCTGAATGCATTGTTATGCAAGAGACAAAGAGGAGAGACTGTTACTATGGGCGATATAAGAGTGAATAGATTACAGCAGAAGAAGGAAAAATTACTTTTTGTGACACAAGGGAGTCACATTTCAAACCTGGATGATAATAGTATGTACTTTGCCTGTCCATTAAATTATCTTCTTTATTAATGTGTTAGAGCAAGTTATACGAACAAGATTATCAGGATGCCTACTGGGATAACATATTTTCCAGGAGTCCCATAGTGACTAAAAATGGAGAAAAAATTGAGAAATATGCAGGAGCTCCTAACCAAGTCAGCATTTAAGATGAAACAGCAATCAGAGTGTCTTTTTATAGGACAGGAGTAATTCTTGAGATATGCCCCTTAAGGTCCTGTTCTGTAAGACCCTTTAACACTTTTGGTGAGAGTTCTGAGCAGCAATTCATTCTTTGCCAAAGCAATGTGAAAGTCACTTCTCTGTTGCTACAACTCTGGAAAGAGATGAAGAACCACCAATGATTTACTTCCTTCCCAGATGAATGCCATTCTTACAAAGGCTGATGTTAGTGTGGGAAGGAACTATGCCATTGGCTTTGCCACCAAAGGTTTCTGAATTGCTTCCCATAAAATAATCTGAAGTCATTTAACAATAAAAGCATCAACATTAAGACATATATAAAACAAATTCAGGTTCAATACAGATACAAAAATGGGACAAAAATCTTCACTTAGAATGTGTTCTGGGAAAAGGAAGGTCTTCAATTGGTGCCCGACGAATTTGAGGAAATTCCAAAGGGTAAGTGCTGAAGGCTTGATTCCGACATCATACAGAATGGACCTCCTGATGAGATGGTATCTGTATTCATCCAATGTTTCTGGAGCAGTAGGGAAAGAATACATTGCAAAGTGGATCCTTTGCTGCTGCCTCATTCATTTCCATGAGAGGACCAAATTTGTACATTCAAAGAAATATGCTTGCAAATCTGCTTCCTCCATTAAGATGCATGTGGCAGTTGTTGTGAGTGAATTATTATTGAAGCTCCTTTGACCAAATAAACAAAAAAAACCA